AATAAGCATAACAGAACCACTACCCATTCACTTCTCTATCCATGTAATCATCTTATATATCCTTTCATGTTATCTGCTTACAGGACCCAACGAGTTACAACAACAACAGCGTACCAGATCAACAGATATAGAGGACCTTGAAATTTTGTTATTAAAATAAAATTTTAAATATACCAATATCTTTTTTTAGTCAAATTAATATTTTTAGATTTAATATTTTATAATGCAAATAACATAAAATGATTCCAATTTACTAAACGTACAATATTGAATATATTAACATATTTTAATAGAGAACGGAGTCGTTTAAAGACTATTATAAGTTTATTTTCTACAAAACTACTACTACATTTATTACAAATTTAAACTGAATAAATTCATAAAGTTCAAGAACTTGTATCTCAACAGAACTAAAACCAATAACATGTTTGGAACAACTGCATGTTAGCCCGATAAAGAATAATATTTGATTTTTTTTTAATCTATGTATTTCAAAATCCTTTTAATTCTTATCAAAAAGCAATTAACACTGAATGAATGGGTAAAAACAAATTAGTTTCACTGTCAACCAAGCCAATAATGTAACCTTTAAACTCGTATCTATGACAGTCAACATTTTCTTCATATTCGCTTAATATTAAGAGTTATTGTTGAATATTATTATAATGTTATGATATTATATTATGTTTTATACTCTATTATGATATTGTGTTTTATGATCTATTATGATATTGTGTTTAATGTTACGTTACTTACTTATTCCAAAACTATTTCAATTTTTATATAGCTAAATTATTTTTTTTTATGTCTATATGTATATGATTACGATTTTTATTGCTTTTTGTTTTTGTTAATAACAGAGATTAGAACTCGGTACTAGTGTACATCAATAATAATATAAATTCAATGAACAAAAAAAAATCAACTAAAAAATTATTAGAATTTTACTGTTCATTTGTAAATTTCTAAATAAATTATTTTTTTTTCACAAAAACTTTAATTAATTTTCAAACTTTTCAAACTTATAATTTAATTTATTTGTGTCATATATGGACTTCACTAAATCGTAAATCGCTTTTATGTAACTGAACTTGGTCGGTTGGCGTATCTGAAAAACTGGCAAAAACTGAATGAGTTAACCGCCGCGCACACCATACACTGCACTTAGCCGTTCTAACCGAAACACTGAGTGAAGTTATTGCCCGCTCTTTCAGTTCCTTCACTGAATTACAGAATACTACAACTAAACGAAGTCGTTCGTAAATAGAAATTTGATAACAAATTAAATGTGATAAAAGAATAAAATTAAAATAAAAACAAAAATAAAAAACTTATTAAAAAACTGTAATAACAATAAACAAATTTGTATGAAAAATTCACTTAAAACGACTGGGTTTGTCGCTTGCTCTGGCATTCCATTCTGAAGCGGCGATAAGTACGTGAACTAAACTATTTTCAATTTCATTTCTTGTTTCTTGTTCTTGTGAGTTGTGGGTTTCGAGTTGTGGCAACATTTCGATAAGATAACGAAAATTGAATTCTGTTGTTCACTGCGAGACGAAAACGTAGATATTGGATATAACGTGAAGTGTTCAGTGTTCAGTGTTCGAAGTGTTGGAGATAAACGAGTACCTATTGGGGAAAACTGTTGCTATCTGTGGGAAGTGAGTGTATCTAAGGTTGATAGCGAAATCAAAAACTATTCAAAATTTCGCATAATTAAAGATTTGATGCTGGAATTTAATTGAAAAAGTTATAATCTACCAAACATATACATAAAAGATAAATTTTCAAGAAAATAAGAAAATAATTTGAAATTTATGAGAGAGAATGTAGAACATATATGTAACAAAATTAATCAAGAAATATTTTGGCGCCAGTTTTCATAAAATTATGTCACCTTTTTTAGTTTTTGGAGTGAAAACTTTTAGCGGTATATTATTTTCAAAATTTTAGATATTTTTTTGTATGAATGTCACAAGTTAGGGAATGTATTTAGGGATAATTTATTATTATGTGCAAGACACTTTTTACATTTGAAGTACCTAAAAGAACTTTCCCAAAGTTGGTAGTATTATTAGTAACATTCATGTCAATTTATATAGTTCGTAATAGTTCTTTGAATAAAAGTTTTTTTATTAGAATTTTTAAAAATACTCGATATTAGAGTTTAATTTGTTAGAGTTCAAATAATATCAATTTGCAGTTCATTTAAATAGTTTTTCTAAACAAAGTAATCAACTAAAATAATAAAAAAAACCAACTTCTTCGAAATATCATGATTATAACATTCAAACTACAAATTCATATTTTCTGATTGACATTTTGGTTGCAGTGGCTATTCGGAAAATACCCTCCAACCACATATACCTATTTAGCAATTATTTGTCTTTTTAATACCAGATTTATGGCTAAAATAACTCCTGTAAATAAACTAGATCGATCCAGTTGAGTTTATATATTTTAACAAATTTTTAACCGAATTTTGTAAATAAACCAAATCCATTCAGTTAAGTTTATGCATTTTAACAGATCTTGAAACAAAATTGTAATTTCTACTAGATTACAATTTTTTTTATTTATCTTACATAGTCTTGAGTTGAAATATATGGAGACTGCAAATTTTTAGTTTTGTTCCTTGGCTTTTGAGAGAAAAAAAAACGAACCCGCTATTATCACCAACACCAGTAAATACAAAGCTACACCAGTATATGCAAAGCATCGAAGGCCACAGTGTGAGACTTGAATTCGGTTTAACCTCACCTCATCACCAACACGCTATCTCTCTAATAAGAAAGGCCCAGTTTTCTGGCTTAGATCAACCTAGCTCGCTAGGTATTAAACCTATATGTTCGCATCTCTCTGCACTGATTACTGGAATGAAGTTACCTCAATGCTGTGCAAATATTCTACATTCACTCCTAAGAGGTAGTTTTTGTGGGTTCAAAATGATAAGCTTTGAAGTGCTAAAATCTCAAATAATCCAAAGACTAACATGTTTTGATTTTTAACATTCAAAATTTTCTGCATTGTATCAATAAAAAAAAAATTAAATAAAAATTTAGTAAATACAATACAATATAAATTTTTGATTTTAAAGAATATTGAAATGTTCACAACAGCAGGTTGAAAACACAATATTTAATAATTTGTTTTATATTTGATGTTGAAACTTCTCTAAGTATTTCATTTATATTAAAATATCTGTTCTTCTGTTGTTTTCTTAATGAGAAAATACTTGTTTCAATTTTTTCTTATGATTTTTGTTTATTAATTCATAGCTAAACAGTTTTGTAGTTAAAGGACAGGATATCGCAATTCGCATATCTCATTATTTCAGAATTTCCATTTCAGAGAATAATAAATGAATAAATGGAAAGCTATTTAAGACTCTTGTCTGACAATACCTTAAATAATATCTCAACAGCTGACTTTTTACGCCGTGCACTTCATTCCCAACGGTCTATTAGAATTTCCATTACTTCCGTGCTTTCGTACATATTTCATGAAGTCTAAAAGTTTTAAGAACTTCACGATACGAAATTTAATTACAACACTATTATATCCGAAATGGCATAAATTATGCCAAAACTTACAGTGGATTAAAGAACAACAAAGTGTTGAAATTTATTTCAGCTCTGGCCTGAGTGAATTTAGTGGATTTATATGGCGCGTCAGCGCTGGGGAATATTCTCGCAGATGCAGCTGTGAAAATAATTGCTTGCAAAATAAATTGTTTAAAATTATGAAAATTGCTTTTACTTTGTGTTGCATTTTGTCTAAATTTCTACAGAAAACCAACAAAAATGTAAATTATGCCGTAATTGGTTTATGAAATTTAACTTTGCCTCACTCTACTTCTCGTCGCTTTACCCAACCACTTTCGAACGACTTCAAAACTTTTTAGAAACTTTAAGTAGCGAACTTTCCACGGAGTACATTTCAAACCAAAAACTTCGAAGCCAAATGCAGTTATAATCCGCAGTTTTGTTTGACATAAATCAGCCAATTTTTTAGTTCAAATTCATTAATTGTAATTTATCTCTATTTCTTACCTCATCTTACCTTACCTTACCTTGCCGTACCGTAAACAGGATATCATAAACTTTTAACCCATTTAAGACAATTTTGTACAAGACTAACTGTAAAATTTACAGTTGAACAAATGTTGTACGTGCATAATTGGTAGCAGCGAAGCATATTTTATCAATACGAAATCAAGTAGGTGAGTTGAATCAAGTCAAGGAATCAAGTTGCTGCATCAAGACGGGGAAATCAAGTTTGACTCGCTTTACGGAGAAGACCAACTTGAATTATTGATACGAGTTTATACAAATTACAAATGTTTATGGCTGCCATTCTGTGCATGTGGGTTTCTCCTGATTAAACCGTTTCTTCCAGCTGCCACAATGAAGCATTTCAAACCGGAGCCACTACTAACACTGCCAACTTTACCAACTTTGCCAACTTTTCCAACTTTGCAACTTGAATCTTCAATAAATGTGCAATTGCCATTCACAAAATATTTTGATTAAATTTTCACTGTCAAGTGCTGCCACAGCAGCTTTCTTTATTTTCTTTTATCTGTTGCGAGCTGCGAGTTGCCGGTTGCCAGTTGCCAGTTGCCATTTGTTTCAAGCCAAATATGGATGATACTCGTTAACGGCTGGCTGTTGCCTGTTTCATGTTTATGTGCCATAATAACATTTACTCAAATATCTACTCATTGTTTCTCAATATAAACGAGCCAAGTTTACTCGTAAAGCGGCATCAACATGGTAGCATCGTTTCCTTGATTTTATGGTTATGATGAGATACTTTTAAAAGGAATGCCACAGTTCCATTGAAAACTGCTGTTGCCGCACTTGAAACAGTTAAAACATTAAAAACAGTTGAATTTGTTTAGTACGAGTTTCTTAATGTCTTGCATGTACACATTTCTCCTCGGCGCTTTCGAATGTTTCCTCTGCAATGTCTTCTTACATCTTAATTGCAGCACTTAAAGATTAATTTGGCATGATTAGAAATAACAGTGCTTTAATGGAAGCATCTATGAACAAAATTACTTTTTCAATTGTCTTCTTTAAAGGTTTTGTTTTCTATGTTAAAGCGATAAAGTTGTCATATATTTCATTAGGTAAGCAGAAAAATGCGAACTTATTTCCATAATTACTTCAGGTTAAATAATACCATATAGTTCAAACTAGGAAATTCTAATTTAAAAAAATAGAATAAAAACAAATGATTCTAATATGGATTAAAATAAAAACATTAAAGAGGAAATAAAGTCTATTAGAATAAAACATACAATTTAACCAGTAATTTAGATTTAACTTAAAACAAGAAGAAAGTCAGCTTGAATTTATAGCTTCATTATTAAAACCATCTGTACTTCACTGAATCATACTTACGGAGAAATAAATAGAAATTATGAAGCGAATTAATCTTAATCTTAATATGATTTAATATTAATCTTAATGTAGCCCAATGTTTCGCTAGAAACGCAATGAAATGAAGAAAAGAAGAAGAAGAATTAATCTTATACACCAAAAACAAAAAAATTGATTCTTCCTGATAGATAGATAGGGATATGAAGGAATAGATAGATTCCTTCATATAGGCGAAGTTGCAAGTGACCTATTATAATTTAAGTACCATAATTTTTAAGTGCTTTTCAAATCTAAAAACAGTTAGTAAAATAATTATGTGAAATAATACAATTAAACGGATTTCTGGGTGTTAATTTAAGGGCACCAACCTTTGAAACAAATGTGAGAATATCCCATAATAAGACTTTTCTAACTTTAAGTGGCGACATGAGCATACATTTCCATACATTCGTTCAATTCCAGCTCAAAACCGACTTATTGTCCTCTCACTAAGACTCACTTTGTTCAGATGATATCGCATGACATGACAATTTCACTTTAATTTTTCTCTATTGATATGTCTTACCGTAATTGGTACGCTTTAAGCCTAGTGGTAAAGCTTGAGCCAGTAACATTTTCTAACAATTAAAGGAAGGTTTTGTATCAAAAATTAAGTTGTGAGCTTACAGTAAGGCTCCAATCCACCAAATTTCATCATAATTTTTAACTTGCAAGATTAACCGTAGATTTATTATCATGAATTCCAGCATAACCATTCACTCAGTAAAGGATTATGTTATTCTTGCATGCATGGCAATGCAGTGGCAGTCTCACTACAAACAGTCTCAAACTGAACATTATCTTTTAAAAAAGATAATGTTTTGGTTGCTGCTGATAATCAATGTCTGTAACAGACATCGGTGTCTTTTAACCCATTGGTTAAGTTGACTCGAACACACAACCCACTGCCATTAACCTTGGATTGGATGTCAGTTGGGTTATGTGCCCTAATTAAACGATGATCTGATATTGAGATCAAGAACTCATTCTTTAGTTTAGTAAGTAAGTAAGACAAGTGAGTAAAATAAGTAAGTTACAAAAAGTTGAATAGAATTATTTGAAGTAAGCATCTAGTTACCAATAACTTCCCAATCAATATTTTAGCTTCTCTTTTTCTTTCAGTTACATAAAACTCCAAATTCACGACAAAATAAATTTTTGAAAATCGATTCAACTTAGAAAACTTTATAAATTCCATTAAAAATGGTAATTATTAGTGACATGCAGTTAGGTGAAATTGTTTTGGACTAAAGAGCATTGAAACATTGCATCCATTAAATGTGCAACACACGGTGCACACTGCCAATGGCAATGCCGATACCGCAGCCAGAACAAACCATAAAAATTTATCCAAAGTTCATAAAGCTTCAATGTTAATAGGGGCGTAAAGCTTTCCTGTTTATTTGCATCATTTCCGCTGTACCAAATGTCTTCTGCTGTGTGTCCCGTAGCGCTGCCGTGTACCATAGTTCAGAAGCCTTCACCTTGTGTAAGCAGCGAATTACACAGAATCGTGGCCGTTCATTTTTCTCGTTTGCCTGCAATTTTCCCCGTTTTCCTTGCAGGGCAAGACAAGGCGGAATAACTGCAAATGAATTTGTTGCCGCAAGGTGCACCTTGTATTTTGTGAACCACAAAGTTGAACGCTTTTCATTGTGTTTCGTTCAAATTGATTTGGTTACTCCATTCCGTGTGTTTTTGCTTAGTTCGAACGCAGTCGAGTGCTGCGGCGGGCGGATTTATGATGCTATAAATTGGAACATAAAAACAGCAGGAGCTGGCTTATTATAACATTAAAAAGACCAATTTTATGACCTTAGATGCGGAGCTGTACAATGAATTTTAAATAAATATAAATCATTTTGTATTTCAAACCAGAAATATGTGCAAAAACTGAAAAACCGAATAGTTAGTTAAATGATTTTAAAGCAACTTCAGGTAAAACATATTTCCAAATGAGTTTACAAACAAACAATAATAGTTTAAATCCAAAACAGAGTATTTGCATATGAAATTACACTTCGCTCCAATATGTCCTTGGTTTGAAGCAATGCATCCACCCTTGACTTCCAGCCAGGTAATTAAATTGACTGCATTGAGTACATTATTGAAATTCTGAGTGAGCTGGCTGGTGGTATAGTGTATGTCGTATATAGTGTTAGAGAAACTGACCAATATTCAAATCTCAAAATAAAAATCAATTTCAAATTTGCATTTTGCATGTTGCGCTATTGTTTTCCTATTTTTGCTTCAGGAAGATCCTTTTTGCATATCAGAATATTACTTTGGAAAGCAATGTGAATACTACTTTTCCATTCCCATTTCCATTTCTATTTCTTTTAATATTTAAATATTCTTTGTTTAGTATTTTACATAAAACGTTTTAAAAATGTTTTCATTATTTGTATTCATTTATTTCTTTCTCTTTTTGTTTGGCTGTGAGCCAAAAATTCGTTTCTATTCGTACTTGAATTCATTCTCATCCTCGTACTCGTACTCGTACTCATCCTCGTACTCTTACTCAGCATTCCAATTTCGACTGTAATATGGAAAATGCAGTTTCAGCATTTCAAATGTGCAAAAAACTTTAATATTAAATATCGTGTTTTCATTTTTTTCCCAAAAACTGAAAAGTATGAAACTCAATTTTTCGTGGTACATTCAAAATGTAGTTGAAAACTTTTGTAATTTGTAATTTGTAATTTGAAATTAAAATTAAAATTAAATGCCAACAATTTCGTTAAGTAGTAGTTTTAGAGCAGAATTCCATCACTAATAGGTGCAAACGTTGTGTAAACTGTGTTATATGACATATGAAATTAATTTTCAACAAAATTAAATTTAAAATTTTAAGTGAAGTGACTGAATATTCTGAATGTCCTTAATAGTTGTGACGTTTTAATGAATTGCTTTTCACAACTTTTCTCACCAAATAAAATTATGTGTCAGATTGTTGGCAGAAACTAATGAAATTTAATGCATGAAAAGGTTTAGATAGGATTTTATAAGGAAAAGTTTTAAATATTGCAAATCCAACAGAATCACTATATATTAAAAATGTAAACGTTTTATGTTTTTTTAAAAAAATTAGTTAAATTATTAATTGAGAAATTTTTATTATTCACAGAAAAAAAAAATAATTCTTTGAAAAATAATTATTCACAACAAAGTAACAAAACTCCAGAAAAATGTGCGAACATAAAAGTCAAGTACGGCTTTCGGTCAATAGGTTAAGGTGAGCTGACTCTAAGCTTCAAATTTGGCAGGACACGAGTTCGATTCCTTCTACTTGCAGTCTCAAAAAATTATTTACGTATAATTAAATACAAGAATTATTTCCAAGACCACTGATGATGAGTATTTGGCAATACTCGAAACAGCTGTATGGTCAACCAGATATTCAATTAATTAAAAATAATATAAAATGAAATTTCGTTGTTGTAGTTCACTACTATTCGAAAAACCTCTTTACTCTTCAAAAAATAATAATAAATAAATAATAAATTCTTTAATAATTTGCTTTGAATGCATGATTTTTTGCGAAACATAGAGAAAGTGATATTGTTTGGCCAATACAGCTATACTTTCTCATATAAGTGCATAGCTGTCCTTTATCTTATTCTTGGAAAACGATATTTATTAATAAATC